AAAAAAGCATGGAGATCATTCCTACAACATCAGGGGTCCTCTCTCAGCTGTGACCCCTAATTTTATAAGTTGTCGCCTTCTCCCTTTCTTTCCTTTCTGCTTTAAAATAGTTAATTCTAGAGGGTAACTATGACTGTTCTTTTTTCTTAATAGGAATATCTCACTGCTTATGGTGTGGTGAAGGAAATGTGTGAGCAAGCAAAGATCAACTGAGTCATGACTGGTTTGCAAAGCTTGCACTGCCCTGTAGTTTGTGGAGAGCCAGTGAAGGATTTTAATTAAGGGAGGAACAAGGCTAGATTTTCATTTTAGATAGATCTCTCTTCTACCTCTGCAGAAGACAGATTTGAGAGAAAAGTGAGAGGGAGCAGGGAAGTCAGTATTAAGGGTATTTAATACTGAAGACCAATATAGTAAGGGCCTATCCCCAGAGTCAGCAAATTTTTTTTCATAAAGTACCAGGAAGTACATATTTTAGACTTTGTGGGCCATATGGTCTCTGTCCCAATGACTTAACTCTGCCTCTGTAGCTGACAATGTAGACAAAATATAAATGAATGAACTTGTCTGTGTTCCAATAAAACTTTCTTATGAAATGTAAAATTAGAATTTAATATGTTACACAATATTATTATCATTAGTCACATATTATTTTCATTCTTTAAAAGCATTAATAATGTAGCAACCATTCTTATTTGCTGGCCGCACAGAAACGGGCAGCATGCTAGATTTGGCCTATATAGTATAATTTACTGACACCTGGCATCTACTATTTATTTGTTTGCAGAAGAGAAGAGGGATTTTTTGAATGTGCTGATAGGTAGTAGGCTTTGATTTACTAGTAATTCATGAGTTCCTAGAATAGTATGCATCAAATAATAAATATCCAAATATGTGTTGAATAAAGATAAATATATCAAAACTTGGTGACATCAGATTCTGGCCAGGAAGAAAACAGAATAAATGTCATATTTTAAGTTGGTTGGTTCTTCTGCTCAGGACAAAGCATTAGCTGAATTTAAATTGATTAGGATCATCCACTAAACTTCCATGGTATCCAGAGTTTTTGTACCAATACTTCTAGAACTATTGCTGACTGAAAAGTTATCTTATTAGTATGTTTCCCAAAGAATATTTACCCTTTAACTGGGGATTACTATGAACTCTCCTTAATTGAGACATTAGCTTTAATTTATTTTCACTGCACTGGAGAAACAAAGACATATTTCTCAAAGATTTTCATTTAGTATTATTATTATTAGCTTGAAATACAGACAATAGCAGTCAGGGCCTCAACATGGAAAATAAGGTGGAAAAATTATGTTACTTATATTACTATTTTTGTTCTCTAATTTAACTTTGTCTTAAGTTTCCCAAGGCCAAAATGAAGAAAACCATTGAAGTACCCTTTAAATTACTTTCTCTTCTCTCCCATTTCTTTCCTCCCTTCCATTTTGTTTCTCACATATTCCAATGACATTTCCAGGCTTAGAGACAATTCTCCCTCTCTCTCTGCTTTCCCTCCCTCCTTTCCTCTTTCTCCTTCTCTTTATTCAGACATTTATGTCCTTGAGACTTGTGGTTTCCTATAAAGTAACATGACTAATATTTAAAGTATAATTTATTATGTTTTTTGGTAGATATATACTAATATTTTCAGAATAGAATTATATACCTGGAATCCAAAAAATAACAGTCAAAAGGAAAAGAAACATATAAATGTGGCATTGTAAAAATGTATCTGCCAAGAGTCATCCACACAAATCATCTGGGGTAAAATGTGATGTCATTTTGGTTCAATCAAACAACCTTTAAGCACTAGAGCTGCATTTTCAGAGTTGTCACATGATGTGGGGCTCATAGAATTTTACTTTTGTAAGACAATCACACTTTTTAAATCTAACAGATCTTTGAAATTCAGAACTAGAAAAAAAATGTCTAATTAAAAAATGGCATCAGGGAATGCAACAGTCTGATTGGGTCAATTGCTTCCTGCCCTAGTTTTATGAATTGAAATTACTTCTGCTTACTAATGGCATTAGAAAAAACATTAAGCTATTTCTACATATCAAGGTTAGACAGGTTAATGAAGAACAGGGTCCTCAGGCATCATTGTTTATAAAATTTGAGCAACCATGTACAAGTAAAAGTAGGATATTACGACATTACCATCGCATGAAGTGTTTTGAACATAACTAGCTTGAATTAATCTCTAGCATTCTTTTTCTGGTGATTATTCTCTTTTTTCTTTAAGCTTCCCAATTTCTTAGAATTCTTATTCCAATTCTAGCCTATTTTCTAGGATTTTTGCTCTTTACTCTTATTTTAAAACTCTTTCTTTATCTTTTTGCTTTTCTATATATGTAGAAAAATGTTTTCTAAGTATTTCTGTTAATTGATTAAACTATTTTCTCTCCAGTGATTAAAATCATGAACAAAATTATATAACCCCAAATACTATCTTTTGCATCTCTCTAACTCTTAAAACCAGGGAGAAATATTTTTAAAGAAGGTTTGGAAGACACAGAGATCTTATTTGGATCCTAGATCCCTTAATTCTACTTTTCTAAAAACTAAGAAACAAAACAAAAAACGTTTAATTCAAACTGTTTTAAAAATCCTATAATCTGTATTCATTTTTGTTAGAATTGAGTGCTTAATTCCCTCATTAATTAACACCTTTATTTTTTTCAATATATTTATTAAACCTATGCTATGAAGAAGGTACTTTGGTACATTTCGTGATTAAAAAAAAGATCTTGAGGCATAATAACCACCTCAAGAAACTAAGAAGAGTTGAATGATAGATGTATGTTTATATCTTCTTATTAGTATATGATACCAGGCAATACAAATTGGAAATATAAAATCCTTAAAAAACACAAAACTAAATATTGATCATAAATCATGGAAATATTTGAGTGGATAACACAAAATTCACCTTTAGAGAAAGTAGTATTTCATTGTCACCTTGAAGATGTAATTTATAAAGACAGCCAGTAGAAGAGAGTTAGATAAAAATTTGGTTATTCTAGAATTCCAGGCAAAGCAAGTTTATGTAATTGATTAAAGTTTGAGAAAATAGAGCCAATGAGGTACAGTGAATTTATTTTGTAGGGGTATGGTTTATGGAAGTTAATCTTGAGCTATGATATGATATATGATCTTGAGATATGATATGAGCTATGATATGATAGTAAAAACGGATAGCAACGGAAACATTAGAATGGTAAGTTATGTCAGTTCTATTTTTCCTTAGGAGTATTTACAGACCTTAAGGCAGGAGCTTAAGGGTAATTTGGACCTTATGAGCCACATAGATCATGATAAATAATCACATTTGTAGTAATTTTGGTGCCTTCATGTAAGCAAGTGTGCAATGACTTTTGGCATGGCATTTCGGAGACGTATAGAAATTCTAGTTATTTATAAATGTTAAGTTTAAAAGAGGTCTGGAACCAGATACTGACTTTAAATACTAACAAAGTTTAATTACTTCTAAATCCCCCAGTTTTGCCTGTTTGAGGGTCACCAGGTGGTCTTTGCTTCCTTCTACATTCCTCCAAGAAGGAGTTTTCGTCTCTGAGACCTGTTCGGTGATCACTGGGTGATTTTTGCTCTTCTCAATAACCACCATTTACCTCACTACTGTAGATTTTCTCTGCAGTCACAAACCTCCCCGACAAGAGGGCAACTTTTCAGAGCTATTTCTGTGGATTGTAGCCCCTCCAAATAGTCATAGCAAAATATGCCAAAGAAGTGTGAACCCAAAAGTATCTGAGACAGGTCTTGATTAATTTAGAAAGTTTATTTTTCCAAGGTTAAGGACGTGCCTGTGACACAGCCTCAGGAGGCCCTGAAGACACGTGCCCAAGGTAGTCAGATCACAGCTTGCTGTCATACATTTTAGGGAGACATGAGACATCAGTCAATATGTATAAGATGTACGTTGGTTTATTCCGGCCAAGTGGGACCACTCAAAGTAAGTCTTCCAGTTTATAGGTAGATAAGAGACAAAAGGTTGCGTTCTTTTGGGACTTTGATCATTCTTTCACTGAATACGCAACTTACATGAGAAAGGAGGGTAGAGGGATAGTCACTTACGTCTTTAGTCTGACTCATTGAATATGCATTTTTATGTAAACGATAGGACAGAGGTAGCAATCAGATATGCATTTGTCTCAGGTGAGCAGAGGAATGACTGAATTCTCACTGTCCTTTGCTGGCACCTGTGAAATAAGCTAGTAATTTACATGACTGGGGTAAAATTCAACAGAAGTGTTCTAGGGTGAAGACCTTGAGGCCCACAAGGAAATTCCCGTGGGCAAATTGTGAAGGAGGTGTGTAGTTGTTTTTAATTTGTAGCTAACTTATAAAATAATAAAATAGGAGGCAGGTTTGCCTAACGCAGTACCCAGCTTGACTTTCCCTTCTGGTTTAGGAAGGGAAATAGGAAAATAAATCTTTGGGTTTATACAGAAATATATAGAGAAGTATATTTTCAAGTAAAATGTGCTGGTTTCCTTCGGTTCCCCGTTTGAAATTTAATTTTCAGAAAGTTTCACATAATAGAGAAGAATCGGTAGCTATGTAGAGATTTGGGTTAGAAGTTTCGAGACAAGAGGAGGAGAAAGCATATATAGGAAAACAGGGGAAAAAATTCTCAAATACACTACCATATACCTTTCTTTTTTTTTTTTTTTTTTTTTTGAGGCAGAGTCTTGCTCTGTTGCCCAGACTGGGGTAAAGTGGCGCGATCTTGGCTCACTGCAAGCTCTGCCTCCCGGGTTCATGCCATTCTCCTGCCTCAGCCTCCTGAGTAGCTGGGAGTACAGGCGCCCGCCACCGCGCCTGGCTAATTTTTTGTATTTTTAGTAGAGATGGGGTTTCACCGTGTTAGCCAGGATGGTCTCGATCTCCTGACCTCGTGATCCACCCACCTCGGCCTCCAAAAGTGCTGGGATTACAAGCGTGAGCCACCGTGCCCGGCCACCACATACCTTTTTAAATCCGTCTATTAGTCCTCCAAATAGGTCAGTTCACTTAAACAGCTCTGTCTCTTTGCAGGAGGTGCATTGCAGACGGGGCCCATCAAGGTTAGGTCTCTATGCAGTGTAAGAATAAGGAAATTTAATAAGAGACTTTTCTATGTAAACAAACAAACAAACAAAAACTCACAAAGCTTAACGTCTGGAGTATTCTCCAAGCTACTTTCTGAGTCTGAATAGCAGTTCACTGAGAAGATTTCTGAATGTGAGCTAAAGTATTTTCAGCTGGAGCAGAGCAGGCAGTGACAAACTGACAGAATTTCCTGGTTTGCAGTTTGAATGTCATAAAGCTTGTCCATCCGCAACCATCAAGGTAATTTCTCTGAATTGTATTTATCAAGTTGACCAGCTTCAGCATTCAAAGCCGCAGGAAAAGCAGTTTCAATTTTAGTGAAAATTGAAAAAAAACAGAAGGATAGGAGGAAATTTGAAAAATATTAGTTTGGAGATTCAAAGCTTAATATTGAAAAAAACTAAAAGAATTCAGTATCTAGTCCAGATTGTAGATAAAGAATAAAATCCTCAAAATAATGAGCTAGAATCTAATAACAGATGTACTATAATTGCCTTTTTTAAACACAATTTTTCTCTCCACATTCATTTCCGTTTCTACCAAAGATATTTACAGTCAGACTAATTCATTTGAAACGTAAGTTTAGACTCATTAACTTGGCAAGATTATTTGCATAAAGTGCAACAAGAATAGTGATTGATAATATAGGGTTTAAAAAATATATGGTTTGCTGGAACTCTTTTGTAAGTGACTTCAGGTTATATTTTTAAAAGGCCTGTGAAGGCTAGGAGTCAAGAGAAAGCTTTACCATCTGACTGCATCTGTAATACTTCTACAAATTGGTAAATTCGTCTTTTCTCAAAGTTCTCAAAATGTTTTGAAATTCCTGGACCTGTCAGAAAGTTACATTCCTTACTTATCACAAACCCAGAAACCCTTATAAGGAAGTGTGTAGACAAGGTATTTCAGGCCAGTTTTTCCAAGGGACTTTTATTGGCTTTATAATTCAACTTCGGTTCCTGAAAGCTATCTGGTCAGATCAGAAAATATGACATTACTTTTAAAACCTCAGTGAAAGAACCGGGTTTCCAGCTGTGTGTTGTTAAAAAAGATATTCTTATTGAAATTATGCAAATAATTTAAGAATACTCAAGAATAAATTCTAAGTTCTAGAGAGATTAGGTAAAGAGGAAAGTAAATATGTCAGTTCTGTTTACGGAAGTATGCATTACCAAATTGCTGCAAATTATATATAGGTTAAAACAAAGTTAACTTAAATCTGGAAAATAAAAAAATAATGAGGAATATTTTAAACAAAAACTCATTTAAAATTATAATATTTTGTCAGTTCAATCCCATACAATTAATTCTTAATTTGCTTAATGTTAGGTTAGCAGTTTTTTGAGCCCAGTTTTGTTTTAAATTAGATTTCTGGAAATTTAGTCTAATGGCATAGATTCAAAGTTATTAGAGTCCTGTATTTCTTAGGCTTCTTTTTGTTCTTTCCATATACAGATATACCTCATTTTATTGGACTTCATTGTATTGCACTCTGAAGATACTGCATTTTTAACAAATTGAAGTTTTGTGGCAACACAATGTAGAATAGTTCTATTGGTCCCATTTTTTTCCATTAGCATGTGATCACTTCATGTTTCTGTGCCACATTTTGGTAATTCTCATATTTCAAAATTTTAATTATTATTATATCTGTTATGATGATCTGTGATTACTGATCTTTGCTATTACTGTTATCATCTTGGCGGGTACCACAAACCACACCCATAGAAGGCAGCAAAGTTAATTAACAAATACCGTGTGTGTTCAGACTGCTCCACTGACCAGCTTCTCCTCAAGCCTCCCTAGCTATTTCTTGACATGCAAAAATATTGAAATTAAGACAATTAGTAACACTGCAATGACCTCTAAATGTTCAAGTAAAAGGAAGGGTCACATGTCTCTCACTTAAAGTCAAAAGCTAGAAATGATAAAGTTTAGTAAGGAAGGCATGTCCAACGCTGAGATAGGCCACAAGCTAGGCTCCTTCACCAAACAGCCAAGTTGTGAACGCAAAGAAAAAGTTCTTGGAGGAAGTTAAAACTGCTACTCTAGTGAACATGTAAATGATATGAAAGTGCAGAAGCCTTTTGCTGATATGGAGAAAGTTTTAGTGGTCTGGATAAAAGATCAAACCAGCTGCAACATTGCATGAAGCCAAAGTGTAATCCAGAGCAAAAACCTAACTCTTTAATTATATCTAGGGTGAGAGAAACTGGCTACACTAAACAACAGATTATCAATCAGATGAAACAGACCTCTTGGACTCTCATAGCTAGAGAGAAGAAGTCAATGACTGACTTCAAAGCTTCATAGAAATGGTGGGGAGAGGCTTTAAATGACTGGCTATAGGCACTTAGCCCTCATCTCCTGCATAGAAGGACGGTGAGTAGATAACCACACATTGAATACAGCATTTAAGAGAGAACACTGGAATTCTGCAGGGAAATGACAGCGAACATCTGAGACACAGGAAGAAAGGGAAACAAGGCAGCTGAACCAACTGGGATTAGCTGGGAGCCTGTGGAGGCTCCCCAGTGTAGGGAAAAGGTAACTGAGCAACTCCTAGAGGTCCACATTTTCACTGAAAACTCCCACAATCTTGGCCTAAGAAAGCCCCTTGGCTATCGCAGGCCCTGAGACTAGGATAGACGGCTGTCTAGAGTCTGAGCAACCACACGGTTCCAGAGAAGGAGTCCATGCTGGGTGCTACACACTTCTTGAGACCTAAGCAGCTGCTGAATGGAGATATTATGAGAGCCCAGCCTCCATCAGACTGTTGGAGGCTTTTCCACATCCTGGAACCCAACTAACATTTTCGCATGCCCACCTGGAGGGCTACGGAGACGGAACACCAGCTGGCACTTCCAGTGTGCCCAGGTTGTGAGAACTCTATCTCACACAATGTTCTGCACCCTGGGGAATGCTGGGTGCAGCACACCAGGGTGGCTGCAGCTATGACAAAGGGAGCTGGAGCACATGCTTTCCAGAACCTGCGAGCTGCCCGACTAGGACTGCTGCCACTCACAGCAACCCTGACCCCATCCCTGCAGCAGGGTGGCCATGCCCCACCATGCACCTTCAGTGGGCCTGGAGATGAGCCCCGTGAAATGCCATGCTGGGGCTTGAGGACAGGCTTGCCCTGTTCACTGCTACCACCACCCGGGCATGCCCAAGGGCCTGAGGATGACCCACCCCACCTTTAGACTCAGACACATGTGTGAAGTATCAAGAGTTCTGAAAAAAGACCCAGGCTGCTTGCTACAGGAACACAAGAACACCAACTGGGGCATAGGGATTGCTCCACCTGGCCTACCACAGCCTATGCCCATGTGCACCATGAGAGGCAGTGAGGGCTGATTCACCCCACCTATTGTCCCAGGTGCATGTGTGCAATATTAGAAGGTCTGACAAATGGTGCAGCTTCCCTGTTGCTGGTACTCAAGCATGCGATCGGGGAACCTGGAGATCATCCTTTTCTGTCAATCACATCCTGTGCTTGTGCACACTACTGGGGTCCTGAGGACAGGCCCACCCCACCTGGTGCGAACTCCCTATATGGAAGAACTCTGTCTGGGAACCTGAGGATCAATTTTCCTTGCCTGCTGCTTCTGGTGCACACATGCACCATTAGAGAGCCTTTAAAAAGGCCCAGATTGTCAGCCACTGGTGCCCAAGCATGTCATATAGCGGCCTGAGATTCACTCCACACCACCCACTATCACAGGTATCTGTGCACTACTCCTGGGGGCCCTGAGGGCAAGCCAGCCCAACCTGCTGCCACCACCACTGCTAACACCAAAGTGTGCCACCTGAGAACGGAGGGTTGGCCTGCCTTTGATAGTCATTGATGATACAAAACCTGCTGCCCACAATCCCAGTTCACTGCTAGCACCGTCATTATCCAAGCAAGCAGCCTGGAAGCTTAAGAATCAACCTACCTAGGTCTGCTATTAGTGCCCACGTATGCCTCCAGTGAAGCCAATAACAGAAAGGCTTACCTAGCTCACAGCAACAACTACTGTGGACCAAAAACTAGTTTATTCTGACACATCTGTCCCTAGCAGAGCCTGATACAGCTTTCACTGACAAGTGCAGGATAGGAAACTGTGGAAATCACAGACACCACTGATGCTGATTACAACCAAAGTAATCATACAAAAACTATACTTCATACACACAGAATCAAGTCTAAAGTTCCCTACCCAAACAACACTGTAGAAACACCTACAGAAAAGAATGTCTTTCCCTAGGAAAGTAAATCAGAAAGAATTGGAAGAAGGGACTATTACAACTCATGTGCAGATACGAACATACGGAGCCAAGAAACATGAAAAAGCAAGAAAACATGATGCTTTTAAAGTAACACAATAATTCTCCAGCAACAGATTTCAACCAAAACAACTCCATGAAATACCCGAGAAACAATTGAAATTAAGACGAAAGAAGCTTAGTGAGATAAAAGAGAACACAGAAAATTAATACAAAACAATCAGAAAAATGATTTATAATCTGAATGGGAATTCAACAGAGATTAAAAAAACAAATTCTGTATTAAAAAATTATAATAAATAAAACAAAACTGTAATCAAGGGCTTCAAGTAGAATAAAGAATTACAGAACTTGAAGACAGGTGTTTGGGAATAACCCAATCAGCATATATATATGTATATATAATATATATATGTATATGTAATATATATATGTATATATAATATATATACTGATACACATCTATATCTATCTATAGATATCTATATATCAGTATATATATCTACTATGATAGATCTATATATATATCAGTATATATATATCAATAGATAGATATATATAGATATACTGAAATACTTAGATTATATACTGATATATATATTTATTTTACTCTATATATAGAGAGAATACGAATAATAAAGCTTACATAAATATGGCAGAATGTAAAGTGACCAAATGTTTGAGTTTTGGGTCTTTCAGAAGGGAAAGAGATAGG